CAAATTGGAGGACCTTTTTGTCTGCCCAATTCTGTTCTTTCCTTATTTTATCTAGGGCTCATCTTCTTCTTTCCCCTTGCTTTTTGGGCTGTTATGCAGGAAAATTTCAAAGTTCTGGGGATTATTTGTGAACTTTTGAAGTTTTGTGGGTTTTGTGGAAAAAATGAAGTTCAGGAGGGTTTTGTGGGGAGTGCCCCAAGGTTCAAGGGGGATTTTTGTGAAATTTATGCCAATTAAAGGAAGCATGTCTACAGCTGGTATAAGAAACAATTAGGACGCAATAAATATACCGTAATCACGAAGCAGGCTAGCTTCTGTCTCTGTATTGTCAAACCACATCGTTATTTGTGTTCTTGCATTCCACTCATACTGCAGAAACGTGAATCAACAAATTGCATTACCAATAATTATTTGATGCTACATTGATTTAAGAGAGAGACAGCTAAAGTAATGTAAAGGGATATTACCTGTTTCTCTTGTTCTAAATCTTCTGCGAGGTTCTTAGCACTTTCTAACCAGGATCCAAGTAGGAACCCATCATGGCAGGACAGAAGAATGTCGAGATCTTCGACAAAATCAAGAAACAGCTTGCTGTAGATGCCAGCCTTTTCAACATCTTTAGTTTGATAAGCTTCAATGACCGTCAAGAAAATTTGGTTTGCATACTTAGCTAGAGCCTGTCTAGTGAGGTCCACAAGATCATACCTGACATAGCCAATATTAGTTCTATGCATATCAGCTCTCAATTTGGCATTGTAACTAGAAAATCTATGTTCTCAAAAATTAAATATCTTTTGCTCCTAGAGAACTTATATCTTAATTAGTTGAACATAAGTTATATCAGTAACAGACTGATTGCTTAGCCCTTGGACTTCACTCATTCTTTAGGTGTGTTATCAGGCTAACATACTATCTATTTAATGGAAATGACTTGCAGGAGTGATTACCAAGCATAAGTAACACGAAGACTATGCTAACTGCATATAGAATTTTATTATACTTGAAATGAGTCTGGAGTAAAACTCACCTGAAAGTGTTACTATCTGAAATTTCATCCCCATTTTCTAGGAAAAGTTCCAACGCATATAACACGTCACTGGTTGAATACCACAAATGTGGCTTATCAAATGAATTTGGAGCTCCTATTGACTGTGCCCTTTCAGATAACTGTCTGCTGAAATGATGTAGAGCTGCAGAGTTATATGCCTTGGGTATCAAAATGATGGATGGATCAACATCGGGGAATGCTACAATCACATCACGGTTTTTATCCTGTTACCAGATGGTGGGAAAAACAGTTAAATGATTAATTATATCATTGGATTATGAGTGCATGGTAATGCTGTTAATATAGTCAGTGTTACAGAATACTAATAGGAATCTCTAGCATTGTCTACTAAAAGAATTATCACAAAAAGTCAAATAATTAACATAATTCTAAAAAAAGATACCTAACTTACATGCGTATAAGCGACACAACAAAATAAATGGCAGATGGATTGAAAGGATAAAAAACTTGCCAAAGATGGAAACAAGATGTTGTAAATCTTTAGGGCTTCTTGGATAGGTACATCTAATGTTGGAGTGATTCACTTTCCTTTTCCTTATTTAGGACAAGAGGAAGTGTAACATCTTCTAAAGAGCTCATAGTTTCAAATAAAAGGAAACACCGACATAGATTACAGCATACCTTTACTAGGTAGGCAGTCAAAGTTCTAGAAAGCTCCTTACACTTGCTACCCTGTATGTGACAGGCACATAATATTAAACCTAAATTATATCTAGGGATAGAGATCCTAAGATATCAGCAGAATAAATAATCCAAATCAAGCTTTACTTTTGTGCAAAAGGAAATAAGGTTTTTCTCTTCTGAGCTTTTAAGGGGTCTGAATTATTGCACGCTATTGAAGAACTTTCATTTAATACATAGACTGGGGACATTCGGTCATCAGTACCATGGGGTGGGATTCGCCGCCTAGGACTTCGTTCCCTGATGACCGTGTGTTCGAATCCCCGCGAGTAATTCACCTGCTGTCCACGCTCTCGGGTGGGGTGGAGGCCGGGGTTTTATCTGGTCAGTGGCGGCTCGACCCGTCGTCCCTGGTTCGGATCCAACCGGACCACACACTGCACGCCCTGCCAGTTTAGTTGGCAATTCTTTCAGTAACGGTTGAGCAGTATGCCACTAGGAGATTGCTCAGAAGCAGGTGCATCAAAGAGCAATATGAAAATGATACACATTTAACAGTCTACTCCAAACTAAGAAAAAAGGTAAGAAGAGAGAAGAAAATTCTAAATAGTGTCTTATTCCTGCAGCAAAGTTGAGGCAATTAAGAGTGTTATCTAGACTTGAGTTCATTCTGATGAAGATTTCTTTTGCTGAAACTTGCAAATCAGGCATGATTACGATGAACAATAAAACTACAAAGGAAAAATTCAGAGCTAGATGCCATATACGACTCATCTATCTCATGTTAAATGTAGCTTCTAAAGATGTAAATGTGTATTGATCCAACCGTGCAATGCATGCCCCAAATGTGCATCATTCTACCACGTTATAAACAAGAAGCAGCAGGATAAAGGCGCATATGTTAAGGTTACGGTTCAGGATAACTACAGAATGTATGCATGCATGCATCTATTCATTCATCCATCTGTCCAAACATAAATACACATACGCGGACATGCATATGCACGCAGCACCCACCCACATATGCACGCACAGTGCACACATTGAAAAATTTACATACAGACGCAAGCATAAATACATATACACACATAGTTACACAGTTCGGGGTATGTAGTGGGTTGTGGTACGAACTCGAATATGCAATTCACCACATAGAAAATTTGGATTCAAGAGGGGTAGCTTGCTTCAGCATGAAATTTGATACATAGTACGATGTAAATTTTGTTTGGGTGTGCTTACCACTTTTTCAAATCGCAAAGTAGACAATTAGAAACTGCAAAGCTAATTATGCATTTCAATATTTAGTTACAGTGAAGACATTGACTCATATATTCTATTATTAATTTGTTGTTTTGTCTCAAGATGTATTTCAGATAAAAACGACAGTGATCTAAGGTCAATTATTAACTTTGGATAGCTTCCACCTACTAAAGAGTACTCCAATACTTTTGTTGAAACATATAAAAAAATCCTTGTTCTTGTGCACGTAAAGAGACTTTGCTTCCAACATACTTGAAAGCGGTGCGTCAATTTTGGGGAACTAGTTCGTGTATTGGAGGGAATCATAAATGTACCAGGAAATCGGTTTCTAGGAACTGTACAACAGTTAGAGGGGGGTCAAGGGAATTACGCAATTATGTGTACACACATACACACACATACAAACACACATGCACGTACATACACACATACACAAGCACGCACGCATACAGGCATACACACTTAAAACATTTCTGAATAATTTGATAATGCACCTGTAACTGATTATGCATTATGTGCCGCCAAGTGAATGCGTAATGAATTCGTGTAAAACAACACTGAGGCAAACAATATTCACCAGTTCAACTGGACACATAATTAATCTTTAATAGAAAAGTATGCCTAAATGAAACATGGTAGTTGGATCTCTGCTATTCCTTCATATGTAATGTGTACATATACAAGTGCACAAACACAATTAAAGATACCCAAATATTCTGGCTATTCCTTCATATGTAATGTGTACATATACAAGTGCACAAACACAATTAAAGATACCCAAATATTCTGGAAAGCAAAGCTTGCTTTTATGGATAAATACAAGTGCACAAACACAATTAAAGATACCCAAATATTCTGGAAAGCAAAGCTTGCTTTTATGGATAAATGGATAAATGTCATATGTTAACAGTATCGTAAAAGCATCTACCGTTAGTCCCAGTGAATAACTTACATTAGCACCATCTGTGCAGTTATATAGAGTGTGATGTAATATTTTCCAGGCATCTTGTATTGCTGGAACATTCTTCCCATATCTCCTCCTTGGGTATAAATCTATCCATGCCTGATAGAAAAAACAAAATGATTCAAAAATAGTGAACATTTGCAGGAAATAATCTAGTAGCACCAACTTAAAACAAAATTACTCATTATCAAAAAAATATCAGCTGCTTAAATAGACTGTTGCAGGCATCTACAAAATGCGAAGGCTAAAAGGAATTCATTTCCATTACTTCAAGCAAAAATACCAGGAGTTTGACAAAGCATCCAACAGATTATTATTTTTTTCAATACTATTCTCCTATCTAGAGTGAAAGAGCATGAAAAAGAAAGGGCAGAGTAAAAAGTGCAAGGACTACTGCAAAGACTCTTGACAATGCCTCTGAAGTGTTGTCTTAGTATTGCAAGAGTCATATATCCACATTACTCTAACAGCCAACTTGGTTAGCACATGATCATATGACACTTCATTATTTTTGGCCAATTTGATATACATCCCCATGTTTGACATTTCCTCTTACCCAACAACACTAAATATATGGATTTTACAAATATATCTGAAAGCATTTTTGGCAACTGGTCAGCTTATTTTTTGGTGGGTACCACAATAAGCTGCATAGTTTGACTTTGACCAAGTCCATGTTACCTCTTAGCATTAAGAAAATTTCAAAGCCTTCTTTCGCTATCTCCAACTCCTTTTTGGTCATTTTGTGAACAATAATAGATTATAAGTCACTCATTTGATAGTCACTCTACCATTGGAAAGAAATGGATTATAATCCACTAATTTTATCAAACACTTTGGATTATAATCACTTGACTTATGAGTTATTTGCGGATAATAAGCCAAATGGATTATAAGCCAAAGTTGCTAAACATGCTCCAAGTCTAATAGAATCTATGAATATTATTTGTCAAAGGTCCCTTTCACTACAAAATTCCGAAGTTGTGGTGAGGGTTGAATGTTGAAATTTTATACTCTTGCATGCGCCCACAATATGAGAGCTCTTTTATAAGTTGAAACCTAGACTCACAAAACAGTATCTTTTTTTAATCCGCTTTAGAAACTCATAACCAAGTAAGATTTGAAAATAGGTTGCTCTAATACCACATCAAAGGCCCCTAACACTAACATAAAAAACACCAAATTTATGGTGAGAGTCGAGGGTTAAAGTTTTATATTCTTAACATCTTTCTATCCTATTAAAGAACAAGACCCAGTCAAAATTATTGATTAGAGAACCAATACAATTATAGGGTTACAATATGGATACGAATAATGGAATGACACCCAGTAAACACAATACTTGATCCAATACTTAACTAACCAATTTAACACCCCCTCAAGCTGGTGCATAGATATCAACCATGCCCAGCTTGTTACACAAAGTAGAAAACACTTGAGGTGAAGCCGTCTTCATGAGAATTCCGCCAACTATTCTGAAGAATGAGTGAATGGAGTGTGAATCAAGTTTTTCATCATTGTATCCCCCAACAAAATGGCAATCAACTAAATATGCTTTATCTTTTCATGAAAACAGGATTCTTGAAAATGTAAATGGTAGATTGATTATCATAAGGCATAGGCATAGGTCCAGACTGGACAATCAAGTTCTAACATTAAATTCCTCAGCCACATCATCTCATAAGCTATATACACTATCGTCCTATACTCAGATTCTGCACCAAATCAAGAAACCACATCATATTTCTTGTTTCTCCAAGTCACTAGATTGCCTCTAACAAATGTGCAATACCTAGTAGTAGACTTTGTATCTCCTTTATCTTCTGCATAGCCCGAGTCAGAATAGGCAGAGATATGTACATTTCCACACTTCTTGTACAATAAGCCTATAATAGGAGAGCTTTTCACATAGGCAAGAACCCTCAAAGCAGATCCCCGATGAACCTATCTAGGTTTGTGCATGAATCGACTGAGAAACCCAACGACATAGAATATGTCGGGTTTAGTGACTGTAAGGTATATTAGCTTTCCAATAGGCCTCCTATACTGTTTAGAGTCATCAAAAAGTTTATTGTCCTCAGACTAGAAATTCTCATTTGCTTCCATTAGGGTATTTGCAGGCTTGCACCCCAAAAGACCAGTCTCCTCTAGAAGATCCAAGACATATTTTCTTTAGGAAAAAAGCAAGCTATATTTTTGGTAGGCCACTTCAATCCCTAGGAAGTATCTCAGATTGCCCATACCCTTAGTCACAAAATGTTTTCTCAAATATTCCTTGTCTGTGCCAAACCAACAAACCAACTTTATCACTCCTAGCCAGTAATATGTCATTAACATATACAGCCAAAACAACTAGCCCAGATGCAGCACGACGAATAAATACAGAATGATTTGAGTAACATTTCTGAAATCCAACACTACAAACCACTTTGCTGAACTTATCAAACCATGCCTTTGGACTTTGTTTAAGGCTATAAATTGCATTCTTAAACCTACATACAATATACCCCTTGAGCAACATATCCTGGAGGTTACTCCATATAAACCCCCTCCTGCGAATTACTATATAAGAATGCATTCTTCATGTCAAGTTGGAACATTGACCACTCAATATTAACAGCAATAGAGAATAATATCCTGCTAGAATTCAAACGAGTAATAGGGGAGGTCTCAAAATAGTCAACTCCATACGTCTGAGTTTAGCCTTTAGCAACCAATCAAGCTTTTTTATCCACCCTTTAGCAACCAATCAAGCTTTTTTATCCACAGAGCCATCTGGCCAAGACTTCAAAGTATACACCCATTGATAACCAATAACATCTACCCCCTAGGAGTAAGAACCAAATCCCAAGTTCCCCAAGAGACAAGGGCATCCATCTCATTCATAGCCTGCTTCTAGGTATGAACTAACATTGCCTCTTCATAAGACCAAGGTATGGATTCAGAAGACAGAAACAATGCAAACTAGGGAAAGGATAGGATAAGACGATCATAAGAGATACAATTGGAGATGGAATGAGCTATAGTAGATTGTTTACCTTCTCTAAGCGGTATAGGAAGATCACAATCAGAGAGAGTAAAAAAATTGCTTATAGGTAGGACTTGCATCTGTAGACTATAGCTCAGCCGAGCATGAGGGAGAGGCATATGCTTTCTGCCTTCGAGTCAAGGATTTAAATGTCGGTTATCGAGGATTTATCGGACGGTCAAAATCCTTATCGGATAGCGGAAATCGGGGATATATCGGGGATAAGTAGTATTTACCGGAGTAATATACTAGCAAATAATAAATAAAGATAAGCTTGAAAAAAAATATAATGTTAGTCAAAATGAAATAATAAACAAGCAAATAATAAGATAACATCAAGAATGAAGAATCATCTACGCATCTACATAATTATTGTTTAATCATGAGATTTATAAACTAACTTACTAAGTTGATATTTAGTAGTTATGAGCCATTATCAATATCCATAAACAAACATAAGCTAATCACCAATCAACCAAGTTCTAAAAACAACAAATAGTTCATAATTTGTAAACATTCAATGAACAAATCCAAAAGAAAGTAAAAGATCACAAATCCTACTTATCAGCCGATAAAGCTGATATTTAGAGCCTACTTATTGGCCGATAAGTACCTTTATCACCGATAAACCTCAAAAAACAATAACCGATTAAAAATCCTACTTATCCTAACGGAAAGCTCCCAAATCCGATAACTCGGCGATAATATCGGATTATCGGTCGATATTTAAAACAATGCTTCGAGTATACACCTATAGTGGCTTTAGTGCAAGTTTATCTTCTACTCAAGAACTTGCCACTAGTTGAGGCAAAGGAACAGAAGCTAGCGGAGAACCTGTACTAATTGATGAGAAAAAAGATACTCAAAGAAGGTGACATCAACCGATGTAAAATACTTCCTAAACACTAGATTGTAACAATATATCCCTTCTAAGTTCTGGAATACCCAACAAAGACACTTAATAGATTTAGGAGATAGTTCATCGAGACCTGGACTCAAATCCTAAACAAAGCAAGTGCAACCAAACACTCTAAGGGTAATTGAAAACACACTCTTGTTAGGATAAAGATAGGAGAAAGGGATTTTCCCACCAACTATAGACGATGGCATCCTGTTACTCACATAACATGCACACAAAACAACATCAAACCATAAATATTTTGGAACATACATATGAACAATCAGTGATCTAGCAACATCTAATATGTGTGTATGCTTTTGTTTAGCAACACCATTTTGTTGAGAAATATGAGAATATGAAGTTTGGTGAAGGATGTTGTTAGTGGCACAAATTCTAGACACGTTAGTTTTCATATACTCTAATGCATTATTAGTATGAAGCACACAAATAGTAGTAGGAAATTGATTTTTAATTTCATTCAAAAATTGAATTACATTAGCAAATTCTGACTTCTTTCATCAAGTAGAGTCATGTTATACGAAAGAAGTCATCCACAAATATAATATAATACCTAAATTATTTCACTCAAAGAACACGACACAGACCCTAGACATCAGAGTGGACCAACTCAAAAGGAGTACTACTACGTTTATTGACTCGACTCTGATACGAAGCATGACGATGTTTTCCTAACTCACATGAATCACATCCTAAAGAAGAAAAAGATGACTCAATAGGAACTAACATCTGAAGCTTCTGAAGAAATGGATGTCCTAGACGTAAGCGTTATTGTAGAGGGGTATCAGATACACCAGCAGAAACACCAGTAAATGCCTACTCTCTCACGATCTGAACCAATCTTCATCCCATCTGCAAGTCCTAAAAGACACAATGTGAAGGAAAAAAGTTATTTTACAGTTATTATTTTTTGTGAATTGGCTAATAAACAAGAGTCTAATAGGAAATTTAGGAAATTTAGAAGCATACAACACATTGGTCTAAGTCAAGGATGGAGTAGCCTGAACCACCCTATCACCAAGTACAGGTGTAAAAAACCATTAGCAATATGAACAGAAGTAAATTTGTCTGAAAAAGAAGGAATGAAATTTTTGTTTTATACCTGTCATGTGAGATGAAGCTCCTGAATCTAATATACAGGGCCTGTCTAAAAAGGCAATATAAACATTATACCTGAAGAGCATGCATGAGCCACTGAATGACTGCTTTGAGTAGACTTGGACTGGAGCTACATGAGTCGCTTATAGTTTGCATGTGACATCTGTACAGTAGGGATTTCTAAAGAGGCTACTGAAAAGTTGTACCAACGGGAGGGATAGAATCACCAGTAGTTAACTGTGCCTACTCATGCTTGCCAAACTTCTGCCAGCACTTCTCCGCTATGTGGTTATTCCTCCTACAATGAGTACATTTGCGTGGTCGTTTATCAAATCCACTTTTCCTACCACTATAAGAACCACGACCTCCCCCTAGATCACGGTCACAGCCACGACTACGTCCTCTACCACATCCAACCATGGCAGACTGATTAACAAATGGTGTAGAAGGTGCACCAGCTCCAGCTGATGCACGCATGAGCTTGGAGAAGGTAGATGTTAATGAGGGAAAACTCTCTCCTCCTAAATTGTGCCCTCCCATCTGAGATGTCAATGATAGATCCAAACCAGACAGAAACCTCGACACTGCTAGATCCTGACGATATTCACTTAGTGTCGTTGGATCAATAACAACATGCTGATACATCTCCAACTCATCCATTAAGCCTTTCAACTCTCTATAGAACTCCGATACAGATTTATCCCCTTGCTGCAAGGAAAACAATCACTTGTATATCTCATGAACTCTGGACACATTCTTCTCATTTTCATACATCACCTCGAGAGTGTGCCATATTTTCTTGGTAGTAGATAACATGATACTACTACTGATCTTTTCTTCCATACGATTGAGGAGCCAAATGAAATCACAATAATCTCTAGAAAGTCAGGTCTTGTACTTAGAGTCTATAGTAGCAAGTGGATTCTCCAGAATGTGCACCAATTTGTTCTGAGCACCTATAAAAATTCAAAATACTTGTGCCAATAACAAATAATTAGATTCATTTAGTTTCACAGTGGTTCCTAAAACAGTTTTGGGAGTGGATGTCTCCATAAGAATAAAAGGAATAGAAGGGGTCAAAGAGATCGCGATATCCGACATCTCAGCCGGCCAAATATTGAGTAATCATTAACCACAACTCAGATCTAATGAAATCAGCGACAAAATCTAGCTAGAAATAAGCTAAAATATCAGAAATTTGCCAAAAAAAGTACCAAATTAGCTAAAAACAGAAAACAACAGCCAATAGTTATCATCAGATCTGATATGAATTTTTTAACCATATTAAGAAATCAGATCAAATCTGATTAAGTTAGCGGTAATGATAGCAGACAACAACATCAGTAGAGGGCAGCAACATGGATCAAGAGGGTAGCAGCGATGATAGAGAATGATGAAGACGATGAGGAAGATGATTGGAGATGGCAAGCGGAGAGGATGATGGTGAAGAGATACTATTCACGATAAACAGTTCACAAGAATTTCTATTAGCAGATGAATAGTACCATCGATGAACAGTGTTATTTTATTTTTTGAGGATGGGGTTAGGGTTTTTTACAAAATAATAGCTCTGATACCATGTTAAAAAAAAATATCTAGTCAAAATTATTGATTATAGAGCCAATATAATTATAGGTTTACAATATGGATATGGCTAATGGAATGACACCAACAACCCAATACTTGACCCAATGCTTAATTAACCACAATACTTAATTAACCAATTTAACATATCCAAAAGTCTGATTCCATATACAATGTTATCTTTTCAATGAGTTATCTGTAACCTTGATGTTCCTCTCTTTTCTAAAAAAGTTTAGGGCCACATTCTCAATCTCTCAATCTTTTAACCTATTCATTTAGTTTACTGTAAACCAACTACATTATTTTTTTTCTAATCATGATACCAATAACTCCATTACATTTCCAGTAAGTATATGTATACTCCAAGTAGCTAATGTATATTTAGTCTATTGTATAATCCTCTTACACCTTTCTCTCCACTCTCTACTCTGTACATCTAACATGATGAATTGACACATCAGACTATTGTAGGGTCATAGATTAACAAAATGGAGTAATTCCTATTTCAAAGGATGAATTTATGTGCTTAGAGTCTTAAAGAGGAAACGAAAATAATCAAGAAGAATTTATCAGACAACGATATTAGTAAAATGGTTATAACTAGGTGTTACCTTCATATCTATTTTCTTGCGGTGAAATGCCATCTCAGACATAAGATCATAAACAACAGGATTTTGCTCGATGCCTTCCATGCACATACCAACACCGACCTTAACAAAGAAAGGAGATCAAAATATGAGCTCATGAAGCAAATGAAAGAAAACCACAAAAGACTGCTTATCCATGCTATTTTTTCATGAATGTAACTGCTTATAGTTGTGTCCATAAAAGAACACATTCTACTCGTCTCAGGAAAATTATTTATACAAGTATAACTATTAGGTAGAAGTAAAAACTAGATGCATATTATATTTTATCATCATGATTTCACACGATAATACAAATGATATGTTACTGAGTTTCCATTGTCTACTAGCACAATATTCTTCTGCATGTGCAGATAATTGTAAGCACATGCTATCGAGTAATGAGGACAAGGGTAAGCATAAACATATGTCACAAGGAAAGAGAAGGCTAAAAATCTTCTCCATATAAATTTTTGATCCAATGGAAGCCTCCACCTGGGAAAGGTTATTGGCCTCCACCTATGAAAGCTAAGAACCATCATCCTTAACTACATCGTAGTCCTTTTACTAAGAACTTGAAAAAGAAAACCAAGATTCATAGGAAACTTAAATCTTTGCCCCATTGTTAACCAAGGTCCAACCCTGGTAAGTTTCATTCTCTTTTTCCACAGAACAGGAGTTACTCTGAGGAACATTCCAAGGCTTTAACGCACTGGGGCCTCAACACCAAACCATGTGAAACGTAATTTTAATTCTCTTTCACTTCATGAGATCTATCCATTTCTTAATCATTAAATGACTAAAGTTATGAGCGCAAAGGCTAGTTTGATTTTTTTCGTAGCTTGTATCTATATTTTGATTTTACATCTTTCTGACAGCAGATTAATCCAATACACGTTAATCATGTATACGCATGCATAAGGTCTTCAGTCTTCACATAACTATGAAGTAAAAAAGATAACTGCGGTGGAGTATTACTCCTGAGATTGAAATGATAAACATTAGCTGCACGAACCATAGTTGAATTTTCACTTGTTCGAGCTTCTATAGGCCCAGATGCAACTGCATCTAGTATTCCATACATTTCAATATTCGCAGCAAAATTGTGTAACATGCACCTGAAAAGTATTGGTCAAGTAGTTAATTAAACTGGGAGAAAAATGGAACTTTTAGACAATATAAATTCACATGTAAATAAAAATAAATTCCATTGTTTGAATCCAAGAACTTTCCAGATATATGGAATCCCATAGAACTGCTGGGAAGTAATCCATACAGGTTTTACTTCTGCATAGAGATCTAGCACAACCATTCTACCAATAGGCACAGAATGCAGTAGTGCCTGCAAATAAAATATAATAGAGTATTGGAAGAAGAATCTAATAATATTTTAGGGAAGAAAGTGAACGAAAGGTGATACAGATTTTATTCCTGCACAAAACCGTTGTACTACAAAAACAGCAGCAACAGCAACAACGACAATAAAGCTTTTGCTCAAAAATTCTAGGCTAGACTATATGAATACTTTCTTCAATTAAGCTTCTCAATAAAGCTTTTGCTCAAAAATTTTAGGCTAGACTATATGAACACTTTCTTCCATTAAGCTCCGTCTTCTAAGTTAAATTAACAAGTGCAATATCCTTTTCAATGATCTCCATTCATGTCCATTTGCCCTAGCTTGTCCATACTCCTTTGTTAATGACAACCTCAACATTTCTCCTAATCAACGAACTTATCGGTCTATATTTTGCATGCCTGGACCATCTCAATCAATTCTACGTTGTTTTCATCCTCGATAAGTCCAACCTTGACTTCTTAAGTATGTCCTCATTCCTTACCCTATAGCATTGGTCAAGTAAACTGTTTGATGTCATTCTAAACACAGTGTTAAAACTACTGTCAAAAATCATTTTAATTGCTAATGATCATTTAATTATTATCAAAACTAAGAAACATCTAACACCTAGGTAGAATTCATACTGCAACTTGAGAAGCATGAAGGATAAGCAAGAAGCGCATAAGACATGATTATTGGCCTTCTTCCATAATTGTGGATTTTTGGATATTCGTCTTTTGTTTAAAAAATTAATTAGAAAATAATTATGTGAAGTTGAGACGTCAAATGGAAAAGAAAGTAACTTCAAGCATGCACAGTAGAATTTTCTTATGAAAAAAATTCTCAGTAAACATGTAAAAGAATCACCTTCATTTCTGGTGGCTGCCAGAATGGGTCATATGAAAATAACCAACCCTACAAAGTGAATAAGTAGAAATGAGCTTACAGTACTTTGTTACTCTAATCAGGGCAGCAATGTGTTTACGAAAATAATAAGGAATCAATTCTTGCTAAATGCAAAGATAGAAAGAACCGGGAGTTTTTTTTCTTTGAGAATAAAATACATAATAATTCATATATTTGTGAACTCAAGCAATAATGAGTGTTTTACTTTGAAAACACAAGAACTATGAGCACTCGCAAGAAAGGCGTGGGCTTATTGGGTGGGTAAGTAACCATACTGATTGTTCGAATTCTGTTCTTCTACATTGTAATTAAAGTAGGAAGCAAATATGTGAATTTACAAGAGAGGAAAGGTCTTAGTGGATAAGTGCTCATAAATGCACCTTGTTGATTATGTTAAGGTGATGACAGTAGGAGTTGCTTTCTTGGTGTAGTTGTAAATGGGACAGCAGTAAAAGATCTGTTTAGCTGTAAGTAAATGACAGTCATAGAGTTGTGTTGCTGCCAATATGACTGTAACATGATCCTAAACATCATTGGTTACCACTCGCAATGCTACTTGCACAATACAAGGTGAGCTACATAAATAAAAACACCAGAAATGCATCAATTGATATAACCTGTCGCTATAAACACCACCTACTACAAAGCAAACAGCCCCTAGTATCTGGTAAGTTTTACGCTACTAGAGAATAAAAGAATAAAAGTGCGGACAGAACAGGCTCAATAAAAAAAATCATTAGTGCAAATCAAATAGAAAGCTATAAAGTCTAGTGAAATGATTCAATAATTTACCTAATCATACTTACAGCAAGAAGATGTATAGTGACAGCAAAGCCATATTAGGTTTATAAAAGCTAAAAGCTTGATAAAAATGAAAATGGGAAAGCCCCCCCCCCCCCACCAAAAAAAAAAAAAAAAGAAACATGCACGCACAAAAATAAGGGATGCAAAAAAAAAATCCATATCCGAGGAAATATCCAATAGGATATATCCAAATGAACTATTTTTTTTCCAATATTATCTAGTTTTCTCATATCTGTTAATAACTGCATGCATATCTACTTATATATCCGCATGTATATCTGTATCAATATCTGACCTTAAAAAATATCGATATGAATTTTCCTTATCGAGGCATATCCGTATCCGTCATTGGTAAGAGGATACGAATGTGGAAAAGTGTCATATTCATGTCATACCTAAATCATTTGCACCCCTACACCCCCACCTCCAAACAACCCATCCGTCCATAGAAATTAAAATAAATATTTAACAAACGGCGAAGCTTATATGACCTAATAAAAACCTTTTCCACTCGCTCTCTTAGTAACTTTCTCCCTTGCTGAATTACTGATAAAAACTTTTTCCACTCGCTCTCTTAGTAACCTTCTCCCTTGCTGAATTACTCGTTCCACTTCTCCATAATCACCGCCATCTTAAGTAATCATCCTTATCCGTTCTTTGAAATTAAAGTAACTTCCCTATGTTAGCAAACCACCAGCTACTACCCATTACAATTACAGTTTTCATATTATTATGGTTTTAAATCTCAATCACTATCACTTGATATATATTTAAAAAAAGAAACATTTATTCTTTCTAACTAGTTAAAATTAAATAAAAATTACCTTATGTAATCATCCAAAATCAAACAAGTGCACAGAAAAAGAAGAGTCTCTCCCCTCTCTATGCCTAAGAAAATCACAAACATCAAAGACTCGGCTATAGTTATAATTAAGGATCTCCTTTTTGTCTTAGACATTCATTAAGATTATTTAAGTGGAAAATTCCCCCCACTTAACTTGATCTAGATCATTTATCCCTACAAAAAATAAAAAGTAAGGTTTTATCCTATACATCAAGTACCAAAAATTGAATATCAAAAAGGACATATTGCTTAGACCTAGAATTTCTGACAAAGACTTTTAGTCTATGCAGACTATGATCTAAAACACTTTATAAATTTTTGATACATATTTTTCTAGGATTTTAAATATTTTAAGCCGCAGATCTAATCAAGTTGCTAGTTCCAGCAATCCATTTTGTATCCACCTCATGCACGACTAAGAAAAATTTAAATCGCTTGACTTTTGTTTTTTTGGTATTATAATAATATGGACAACTTTTAAAGGTTGAAGAATACATATGAATGAGTGTGCACCCAAGAACAAAGAAGTCTTTAATCCAATCACTTGATCATGATCTGAGAAACTTTATAAACTCCTAATGTACAAGTATAAAAAATTGAACCGGGTGATACATGTGCGTGCGCGCGCACACATATAGAAAGAGAAAAAGTAAAACTAGAATAAACTTAAGTTGATTGAGGGTTCTGTCCACCAACCTTTTTATCTATTAGATTTTGTTTGAGATTCATGTTGGCATGTGATTCACATCAAGATTATCTTTGAAATTTGTGCTTTGATGTGCATCATATGCCAACAAAAATCTTGCAATAAATCTGAAAGATAAAAAAGTTAATGGACAAGTACTTCTATCCACTTTTCCTCCACCCCACTACCAAGCATCAAACTTGATACTTGGTACCAAATATACCCATATATACATACATACAAAAAGAGAAAGAAATGGATATGCTTGGTAACAAGCACAAACTTGATACTTAGTTATAAAATAGATGCATCTAAACCCCACATGTAAGGTTGAAGAGTATAAAGAGAGAATCGTCACATGGGGATGTACTCTCCATCCAACAAATCTCACACACATCTGTAATTAGGATTCCTCCACCCCACTACCAAGCATCAAACTTGATACTTGGTACCAAATATACCCATATATACATACATACAAAAAGAGAAAGAAATGGATATGCTTGGTAACAAGCACAAACTAGATGCTTCGTTATAAAATAGATGCATCTCAACCCCACATGTAAGGTTGAAGAGTATAAAGAGAGAATCGTCACATGGGGATGTACTCTCCATCCAACAAATCTCACACACATCTGTAATTAGGATTCCTCCACCCCACTACCAAGCATCAAACTTGATACTTGGTACCAAATATACCCATATATACATACATACAAAAAGAGAAAGAAATGGATATGCTTGGTAACAAGCACAAACTTGATACTTAGTTATAAAATAGATGCATCTAAACCCCACATGTAAGGTTGAAGAGTATAAAGAGAGAATGCGTCACATGGGGATGTACTCTCCATCCAACAAATCTCACACATATCTGTAATTGGGATTCCACCACCTCACTACCAAGCACCAAACTTGATGCTTGGTACCAAAAATACCCATATTCCTCATTGATATATATATACATACATATATATATATACATATATATATATATATATATATATATATATATATATATATATATATATATATATATATATATATATGTATATATACGTATACGTATATATGTATATATATACGTATACATATCTATGTATATATATACGTATATATATACATACATATATGTATATATATGTATATATATACACGTATATGTATATATATATATATAGAGAGAGAGACTTGTCCACGCAACTTATCAGCTTGACGGAATAAAATTTGATTTGATGAGCTACCATATAATTGTTAAAGGAGTAATCCAGTAAATATATGAGAAAACTGTATTTAGCTATGATGTCATCTCTCTCATCTTGTCTCCCACGAGGATGAAAAATAAAAAATCGCCAGAAATGTCACTCCTATTAATTTGCCAATACTTGCATCTCTAAACCATAGACTCATTCATTCAATTATAGAAACCTAAATCTCTTCTTTATTTTCTTTGTCGATTAGAAACATCAAAGAGGAAAAAAATTTGAAAGAACAAAAAGAAAAACTTTGAATAATATGAAAATCATTAAATAATAACCCAAGCTCTTGCAATTAATATCCCCAATTATGAATTTTTTTTCTTTTTCTCTTTGCTATGAATGAGTGAGTATAAAAAATAAAAGATGAACTGGATAACAGCTTCACAGATGGATATGTTTGGTTAATGGTCGGGTTGTACATTCAGCCGGATTGGTACGAGGGGTGGAGGGTATCATATCATGATAAAAGTTAAATAATTTAGGCTATAATTAGATTCTTTCTTGACAGCGAGGGGCCGCTTGCAGAGGCAGTAGGATCATGCTTGTGGCGGAGAGAGTAAAGCACACTGCTCGACTAGATATCACGGCATAGATTTAGATGGAGTCCATCATTTTCATGCCACTCGGGGCAAGGGGAAGGAAAGCGGCGATGTTCAAGAGCGTTTCTTTTTAGTGAAGAAGGTGAAGGCAAAGGAGCTTTTTTTATTTTGTGATTCCCTATAAAAAGAGATAATCTCTCCTCAAATTTATTATTTTTTATTATTTTTAAGTATTATTCCCAAGATTACTCCAATAAATAAAAGATATTTACTTATCAAAATCTTGATCTCAAATGTCTATCTAACGGTTAGAAACTTTGGTGGACAAGTGTACATATATATATACATATATACATATATATATACATATATATATATATATATCTATATATATATATATATGTATATATATATATATATAAAAGAGGATTCAAGTGTTAAAACTTTAAATTCCTTTTTTGCCCCTCTAATTTTGATATTTTCCAATTTTATCTTTAATTAATTACATATAAAGTGTCATTCTCATTCAATACATGTAAACTACTTGCTCGATATAATAAATACAAATATTATAGTAAATATATAATGCATATGCCATAACTCCACAAGCTATAGATACTTTGATACTCATAATCACTTGATGTAATGATTTTAAATAAACTTATTTTATAGTCTCTAGGGATTCAAACTATCCTAAATTCTTGAGAATATTGATCTCAAAAGCCATGTTAAAGTAATATGGCTTTTCTCAGTGTCCAAGTGAATAAATGATAGTAGAATAAGTGGATGACGTATAACTAGCAGATGCAATGAGCAAATTAATGCTTGTAGTTGTATACGGGGTGGCTTGCTTCTACTCTGTAGGTTTAGCTAAGATGTAGAATTATTTAGCATATGAGGTGACTATTTTAATATTAAAAAATAACAAACAATCAAGATTTACATACTATTGTATGTAATGTTCAAAACTTTTGTCATGCTTTTCTTCAAAGCTTTAAACCAAAACCTAAGTCCACGTGTAACGCACGTGCATTATACTAGTATATATATGTACATATATATATGTGTGTGTGTATGTGTGTGTAAAGCTACATAAATGACATTGTACAACATCAAGTATTAAACCACTCCAGGAAATAAGAAACGAGTTTAATTTTTAGTTTAGCCACAAATTTGCATATCTGACCTGCATAAGCCAGATAGCATCATTGTCACCACTTTGTATTCCACGGTATATTGCGGCACCTAAGGAAGAGATGTAGTTTGGGTCATCTACAGGCGGAGTGTTCTCATCAAAGGTATCACTGCATATAAAGAAAGAATAACAAGGTATATCTAGTTTAGAAGGATCCAGGTGTTAAAATTGACAAGAGAAGCGAGAAGTTTTACCAGTTGTATATATGACTACTCCTGCCATATTCTGGAGGAAAAAAAGGGATAATAGATGTAATGATCAGAAGTCATAGAATATCTGATTGCAGTACCAGTAAAGGGAAGTAACTTCAAGGCAGTCAGCCGCTAAACATAATAGTATAAATATTTTAGCTTGCAATTTATATGATGACTGTGATGCTGTTTCTTTTAGTCCCTACTAAAACATTCGAATAGATGATGAGAAAAACATGATACACAATGGTGAACATCAACTCTTATACATATTAGTGATCATTAGTGGATAACTGCATAGATATGTACATTCATTTGGTTACTTGATTCCTACAAGATGAATACATATCACTCATGAATAACTTCATAGATTAATTAATCCATTTGGCTTTTTGCTTATTATGTTCCTATTGAAGAATTCAATTTCCTAAAGAAGATCATATCCTTTTAGCGTTTCCAGCTCAAATTTGTTGTTGTTCCTGCACAACATGAGATTACATGAATAAACAAGTAGGTCAACTGTTAACTATAACTGCCAATTAATGCTTAATACTATTCCAACAAAGATCTAAGCAACAGCTTATACAGGGTGAATGCAAGGTTGGAATCTTTGAAGTGCTAACAATTTAAGGATCTTTTGCAATGTTGAGTCATGCTTCATAGCTGACATTGTTTTTATGGATGAAGTTACATGTGACCGTGGTACTGGTGATGAAAATTTTCCTACCAAACTTCTAACACATTAAAATTCTAATTAATAAGTCATATATTAAAAAACATCTGACTGAAGATTTAAAAAAATATAGGAAAATAGAGAGAAGGTGGACCAGAAAGAAGACTGCTTCATTGAATGCCCGCATGTCAAGCAGGAAATTTCTAGAAGAGACCTATAAGTGGCATGTTTTGTCCATTAGAATTCCAAAAAACTCAAATTATTTCCATCTAGGCAACCTTTATTAGGAAATTTTTATTCTTAACGACTCACAACACAGCCCTTTCTGATTTGATGGAATCTTATAAAATTCCATACTGCAGTCATTCAAGAATAACTGAGTATTATAGTTTAGGGCATGCAATTTTATCTTGAAATATAGAGTAAAACAAAATTGCTCTAAATAGGCCTAATTCCTTCGACATTCTATGACAAACATTATTACACATAAAATTAAAATCATGTTCAGTATTTCTGCTCGTGAAATCATGATTTATATAACAAAAAAATGTACCTTCAACTTGTTTCTCTATAAATGCTTTTCCAATTTCTACAAACAGGGGATCAGTTGCATCTAAGAGATAGGTACAGCACCACCTTGGATTACTGTTGACTGTAAACCTAATGAAAAATGAAGAAAACATTATCAGTCTACTTGTGATATCTTTCAAGGAGAACATGAGAATATACTTCAGAAGAAAATTTCAGTTGGTAATGACAATGGAATAACTTGCTCATAGCATTTATATTCTCAAGGCGTTTTAGAAGGAAAAAAAAAACATTAAAGAAATAGAATCCCCAAAAGTGACAATGAGGCACGGATTGGCAAGCTATGCAAACTGTAATCACTACAGACCCATCCCTACTGGTATCAGTGAGCAATTGACAATAAATCAGCTCTAGGGATCCTATCAGAACCACCCTTATGGGACTGAAGCGATTACACCATAGATATAACAACTGCAATTCCCAAACTAACCCTCTAACAACCAATGATTGGCAAACATTAACCCATTCTATGCAATGTTCTGATAGCATCTCTACTCATAAATCAGCATTCTGTACTAGCAAATGACTTTAAACGAAGATTCTGGCTGAGAAACTGGACTGCAATGGTTAGAACCTGAATGTGACACTACGAATGGAATGCATTCAACAATGTTCAAAATTCTGCAAAGGCTTTCATGACTTGACAAGGGTCTCTATAATTTGGGTTTAGGTGTCCAGGTTCTAGGTTTTCAAATAAAGATTGACAAATCAATTATTTGGTTCTAACAGTCGAAGGAAGTTCAGGTGCAAGTTATTTGAGATTTCTCAAACTTAAGCTGGCTGCATGATACACCTCAATACGATGGGACATTGCTAGCTAATACCATGTGCTAAATCTTTGCGTTAAATTAGTTTTTTTGAGGCTCTAGCTGAAAAAAAAAAAAACAATGCACAGTAATTAAAGGCACAAAAAATACTTGATTGTTGGGTACATGCAATTCACAGGCAACAAACCTCCAAGGACGCACAATTGAAAGACAAGGGAAAACTGACGCATAAATGAATAAAAATGATACATTCAATGACTTCATTTCAGAAAAAAGAAATAAAATGAAGTAACCTAAAACAAAGGTAGGAGTGCAAGCCGGAAAGGACTGGCCTAGGTTGGGGTATTTGCATGAAACTATTGGTGTAGTAACCCTTAAACAATTACTCAATTGAATTCTTCTCAAGAAGAGTACCATATGCAAATCACAAATTCTAAGGGGGTGGTGTGCAAAATATATGAACTCCTAAGTTGGGTTACTGCCACCCTATGTTGCATGGGTATGGGTACGGATACGGGTGCCAATACGGGTATGGGTACGGGACACGGCAAATTTGTAAAACGTAGGATACGAGGACACAGCTATATAAATATTGATATACACATATAGTATATATTGGAATTAATAATTTATATGAGCACAAAGATGAGAATTAAAAGTTTGGTAACAGTTTTATATTTCTTTTATTATGTGGATTGTAAATTGAAAATCACTATTTTTGAACTAGAAATACAAAAGACCCTTCAAAATCATAATTCGAAACTTAAACTATGTCCAACAAGTTTGAAGACATGTGTTTTTTATTAAAACATGCATTGTATAATTGAGTACATTCCTGAATAAATGTATGCATTTATGCAAGGAGTGTCCAAGGAGTTTGGGTACGAGTACGTGTTGGGTACAGATACCAAGGTTTTAAATGTCGGTTATCCAAGAGTTATCGGACGGTCAAAATCCTTATCGGATAGCAAAAATCAAAGATATATCAGAGATAAGTAGTATTTATCGGAGTAATATACTAGCAAATAATAAACAAACATAAGCTTGAAAAAATATAATGTTAGTCAAAATGGAATAATAAACAAGCAAATAATAAGATAACATCAAGAATGAAGAACCATCTACGCATCTACATAATTATTGTTTAATCATGAGATTCATAAACTAACTTACTAAGTTGATATTTAGTAGTTATGAGCCATTATCAATATCCATAAACAAACATTAGCTACTCACCAATCAACCAAGTTCCAAAAGCAACAAATAGCTCATAATTTGTAAACATTCAAAGAGAAAATTCAAAAGAAAGTAAAAGATCTCAAATCCTACTTATCGGCCGATAAAGTCAATATTTAGAGCCTACTTATCGGCCGATAAGTGCCTTTATCACCGATAACTCGCCAATAAACCTCAAAAAATGATAACCGATTAAAAATCCTACTTATCATAGTGGAAAGCTCCCAAATCTGATAACTCGGCGATAATATCGGATTATCGGCCGATATTTAAAACCATGACAGGTACAACTTTATATTAGAAGTACCCAGGTAACATAGCTACCACCTCAATGGTTTTGATGGCCTATGAAGCACCGACACGTGAAAGAAGGCCCCGAGTCCGTCTCCGACGCGTGTCGGACGCGGACACGCGTTCGACACGCGTTCGACACGCGTCGGACACGTGGTCAACGCCGCCGACACGGTCAACATCGCGGAATCGCTCTCGACACGCTCTCGACACGCTGTTTTGTTCTCGACACGGCTGAGAGGGCAAAAAAAAAGAGAATTTGTAAACCCAAAACCCAAAGCAAAAGCCAAACCCTACTTTTCACTTTTCACTTTTCACTCACCCGATCGGCTCATCTCTCTCTCGATCCCGACTGAAAAGAAAACACCGCCGATCGATCGTCCTCGTCGGCCTCGATCGTCATCGTCGTCCTCGTCGTCCTCTCAGCAAATCGTCCTCCTCGTCATCCACGTCGGCTCGTCCTCTCTCCCTCGATCTCTCATCGCCTTGGCTAGGTCAATCAGTCTCTCTCTCTCTCATTCTTCGTCTCTCTCTCCCTCGATCTCTGGATCTCTCTCTCCCAGCCTCTCTCCCTCCCAGGCTCTCTCTGGATCTCTCTCTCAGTCCTCTTCCTCGTCGGCTAGTCCTCGTCGCTGCTAGGGACCTGCTGCTTGCTGCTGATGCTTTTTTTCTCTCTTGATTGAGGAGACGACAGTGTCAAACTTCAGCGAGGTCTGATTTAAGGGCGGAGGGGAGAGCCCTGAAATGAATTTAATAAGGGGGTAACGTGGCAGCTTTAGAGACAGTGAGGAGCTGGTGATGTGACATGCTGACCAATGACAGGGTGAGAGATGGAGAGATCTCTGCCGTTGGATTTCGAGGAGGGTGGCTTGGAGATTATTTGATTATTTTAAAAATCTTTCTCTTTTGGGCTATTTTTTAATTATATTAGTAGGAGTCGGGGTCATCTCGCCGAGATACAGCGGGAGGGTTTTAGAGAGAGGGGGGAAAAAGAGGCAGTGTTTGAAAAGACAGGACCTGAGTCGCCTCAAAAAAGAAAGCTCTTTCTCTATATTAGCCCCTCACATCTTCAATATTTCGATATTAGCCCTTTAAATCTTCAATATTTCTATATTATGCCTTCAAATTATTGAAATTGGTATTAGGTACCTCAAATTATCATAGTTCTTTGGCCTCAAATTATATGTTTGTAATGTTATACTTGTTAGTAGCTTAGTATTTTGTGTTTGAAGATTACACTTGAGTTTATTGTTTGAATTTTATAAATTTATCTATATATAATAATAATATTAAAAAATTCTAGCCGTGTCGCCGTGTCCTATTTTTTTGGGTTTTGTCGTGTCCGTGTCCGTGTCCGTGTCGTGTCCGTGTCGTCGTGTCCGTGCTTCATAGTTGATGGCCTTGCTCATTGGAGGGAAGTACCGGCACCTCCTCATGGGGAGAATAAGAGAAGAGATAGTTACCTATAATCAAAGGAAAATAAAATTAATAATAACTCCATCCTCCACCCAATATTTTCTTATTGGAAACATCAAAGAGGAGGGATATTAGAAACATCAAAGAGGTGGGAGAGAAAGGAAAGTGAAGGAGAAGAAAGAGACTCAAGTTAAAAATCACGACTCAATCCAAGGTATAATAATCCATTCTCATTTTGTAAGTTTATTTCTAGTAATTTGAATTCAATCGGATAATGGAAGATAGATTGTTATTCATTAAAAAAAAACAAATCCAGTGAGGACCTCTCCGTTGGCCTACCTTGATCACCAGCAAGTCCCCGTCGTCAGGAGGTCATCTCAGTGACCGAAGTGAAGCCTTTGAGATGTGTTGAGCAGGCAAAAAAAGAGAAAAGAAAAGAAAAGAAAAGGACAAAAAATGAAAGAAAGAGGAGGAACAAGAGAGTGAATCTAGCACTGGGAGATAAGGGGAGGGAAAATGTTCACTAACCTCTGAGTTTTCTGAAGTTTAATAATAAGTCCATATTAAATGAATAGCATGTGGTGAGTGAATAATTATTATATCCAAGAACCCCTAAAGTTCCATGATTTGAATCAAGTAATAATTTTGAACGAACATTTTCGTCGTGGATTGATAACTCATTCGATAAACTGTAAAGTGCTCAAGTGTTTTTAAAGATCTATCTTTCTTCTAATTATTATTAGTTGAGATCAAGATTCACGATATTTCTCAGATTTTATGTCGTACGAGTTATAATCATCTTGAATTTCTAGTGTTATCATTTGGTCTCTCAAACGCACTTGCTAAGTATATGGATCTTATGAATAAGATGTTTGAATGATTATTTAGTTACATTGTTTATTTGATGATATATAGGTATGCTTGAAAAGTAAGGGAGATGAATGTTTAAGATGTTTATATAGGCTGTAAAAAAAGCTTGTAGAACCAAGTTGTGTTTTATTGGAAAATATATAGTTCCTCGGACTTGTAATCTTAAAAGATGGTGATGCTATGGACCTTAAACTTTGGTGATTGTGGTTAATTGAACGAGACAGACAAATGGTGTCATTAATCCATTGTTTCCTTAGTATGACATGTACTGTAAGACTCACACATTGTCTCACACCAATGGCTTGTCTCATACAGAAAGAAGTGAATTTGTAATAGTCAATATATCTGTAGAGGAATTTCTGAACAATTTAAATGTTGATTGATGACTAATATTTTGCTTTAACTATTGAAGATGCAAGGCTTATCTTCAATGTGATTGCTCTTGAAAGAAGCTAGGATGTATAGTCTTGTAAAATGGAAAAAATTGTGATA